TTTTTTTCATGAGAACAGTGAGATAACTATGGTATATGTCCGGTATGAACGTCCAAGTACGGTATGTTAACAACATACATTGGTGACAACACAAGCAACAAAGTGCAACAATATATTGTCCAAAAACTGCGGCATACAGTACAGGTACAGTATATGAGAAAATATAACAAAGGTAGGACTATTTGCTCCAAAATGAGACGAGTAAAAGACCTGGTGGCTTTCTTTCCACTCACTCACTGTCTCGAACTCGACCTCCCCTCGATCACCACACAAGACAGCGTTGCTCAGCTGATGTCGTGCTTCGAACTTTTGAAGCCAGCCGCAGGACGCTTCGAAGTCTTCAATGCCCATAGTTAGCGTTATGGAACTCGCTTTCTCTCTTATTAGCAGTCCAGTTTGCGGAAAGTTTTTAGCACGATAACAGTCAAGCCATTTCAGGAAACGTTCATTTACTGGACTGTCCGTCGAGCCGCAAGCAATTCACTCTGAGCATGGAAATAGCCCGAATCGGACTGAGCAAGAATCGCTTCCTCGTTTTACAAAGTCTCGTAGATTTGAGTCTTCCAGACTCCAAGCGTCTCCTGAATGTTTCGTACTTCGTAACCCGCTTCGTTTAATGAGATACACTTCATTTTCTCTTCCGCGGCCATTACCGCTCCTCTTTGTTTGGATGCCATGCTCTAATAAAGGATGTAAAAATGTTCGCAATTCCAGTAAAACTCACTGCAACAAAGAGTCGCTTGCATGTCGCCGTTTTGGATCCAATGACAGAAAATAGCGGTGCGGATACATCTATTTCGTCGTATCGAGCGGGACTTGAGTTAGTGCTACTGCGGGCTTCCGTATCGTCTCCCCCTCCCTCCCTGTGCTCTGCGACTTTAAGTAACTGCGCCACCTGGCGTTTAAATGCCTGTATTACAAGTCCAAATGAAATGAATGCAATAATTTACATTGAACCTTAATTGTGTACTGTACCAACCTTCGGCGGGCCGGATTAAAAAGACCAACGGGCCGGATCCGGCCCGCGGGCCATAGTTTGCCCATGTCTGCTCTAGAGCGATTTATGTGTGAAATTATTAACACATTATGGTCTATCATTTCACATATTATTTTCATATTAAACCGCAAGAGCGCACATTCTCAGTTTGTTGTTTATGCGTCATGAAACGTTAGCATATTCTACACTTATTCAGCCTATTGTTCTCGATTTTGGTTTTAATTGCTTTTCAAGATGACACGTCTGTTCTTGGTGTTGTAATTTGTCAAATAAATTTCCCCCAACAATACGACTTTTACCCCAGTGTCACTTGTATATGGGTTTTTTTTCTTCTTTTTATGCATTTTATGGCTGTTGAAATACGACTTTTACCCCAGTGTGGCTTGTATATGGGTTTTTTTTTCTTCTTTTTATGCATTTTATGGCTGTTGCGTCCTATAATCCGGAATATACGGTATTCAAGCATGTGATCAATTCATCTCACCAGATTTAATTGGAAGATGCTTGCAAGAATGCCTGCTGATCATAGCAAAATGTGGTATGTGAAAAGCTGAAGCTGAGTGGCCCTGAACAAGTATTTGCACAAACCCACGTTTCTGTGATCAGGACTTTCTTGGTGCCGATAATCCATAATATACGCCCTGTAATTGTTGCTTTGGAGATTGACGCAATGCTTTACCGTTGATTACAGATTATTTTTTGTCGTTCCAGACCATACCGGTGGGCGCAACGACATGCTCCCTTCCTCAAATGGACCTCCCAGATTTAGGGTGTGCTTATCTCCCCTGGACCCACCCCCTCACCACCCTCTCTACCGTGATTTCAGGGGTTCAGTTTGCCTCGGGGTCTACACCTGTATCGGGGTCCTCTTTCGTCCACACACCTTTGTCCAAGTCTTTGACCAACCAAGATATAGCTTCTCAGCACCAGATACTGGAGCCACTGCAATATTCGGACCAGACCAACCCCAAGCTACACAATGAGGTGCTAGATGAAGATCAAGAAGTAGAATTGGAGACACCAAACTTACTTGATAAAATTCTGGAGGATCAGGGCAAAGGTGAAGATTCAGGAGGCAAGGTGTCATACAGTAACTCGTTCTATTTACCCAGTGCTTTTTAACTCCTAATTTTTTTTAACTCCACTGACCACAAAAGTGCAAAGGATCGATGATTTGCTCCTTTGTCTGCAGAATTATGCACAACCAATATCTGATGTAAATGAAACTTGGTATATTTTCACCCATTAAAATTTCAGTTTAAATACGAATTAAATGAGGATAGAGGACTTTGTTTGCTTTTTTGGTCATTTCCAAGGTTTAAAGAACATATTCCCACGTTAAGACAGTCATTTAATTTGGAGCAACTTTTAAACAAACAACATTTATGGCAACAGTGTTAGTGAGCACAACAAAGACAGCAAGTTATTTGCCCCAAAACAATTTGCTGAGGTGTTTTAACTTATATCGGTTATTTCTTTGTTGTGAAATGTGGGAAAGCCAACTTTCACAAAGGCAAAACAAAAAATATGTTGACTTGCCCAACGTAAAATGTTATCGAAGCCTGTTGCTTTGAAATTTTGAGTTCACTCTACATTTTTTTTCTTACTATTATGGCCTTCTCCGGAAAGATTATTATTATTATTATTTTTTTTTTTTTTTAACATCATGAACTAAAACTGCATACACATTGTGCTCAGCAAAATATTTGATATTTTAAAGTTTGCATACACAAGTAAAAAAGTGGGTCTGTAGCGCCTCCGACACAGGTTTAACGGAGTGCTTTGACCGAGGATGACAAAAAATGGAAGGCATGTGTAGCAACCTCAGATCTCCAAAACGGTCTGTCGTAGCCATCCCCTAAAATGTAAAGGAACTAAATTATTACACTTTTCGCCCATTTGTGCACATTTACAGGTGTCACACATTTGCCCCTTTGTCCTAGACAGGTAATCCAGCCATCGATTTTCGAGACCGCTTACCCTCATTAAGCTCACAAACGTATTATATCGGTGATCCCAACTTTTATTGAACCAAGGTCCCAATTGTACAGCTCAGTACTCATGGGGTTTGCCTGTTCTCAGATTTGTAAAAACTTTTTTTCAATATTTTAAAAATATGTTTTCATTATTTTTTTGTTGTTTTGGGGGAAAAATTGCTTCCATTTCTTCAGGGTTTTTTTTTTTTGTTTTGTTTTTTTGGGGAAACGCATATTGAATCTTTATTCCCATTTTATTAAGATTTTTTTTTCCAGCGCATCAGAATGGGTGTCAATTAGACGAAGATTTTCACGATTCACGGGCCATCCTGATTCCTATCCCCTGCAAATAGCAGGGTTTGACTGTACTGTATATCAGCAGCATAGATGAATTTGCAAAAATACATTATTGGGCTTAAATAAACATTAATTTTGGACCAATTAAGTGACATTTGATAATTACCTGTAGCACAAGAGGCTGCCAATTGCAAAAACTGATGGAACACACCCCACTCCCGAAAATCTCCATTGATTAACGATTAAAGCTAGGCAGATGTATGCCTTCCACTGAGTGCCCCTCCATCACAAACTCATCTGTAATGGCGCAATCAGTGTTGGTACTTGTAGGCTAAATGCTACAAATGTATCATTTTACTATATTGCCACCGGGTAATGACTTGTGCACGCATTATGGACATGCCAAATGTAAATCATGCACTGCAGTCATAATAAAATAAAGAATACATTTTATGTTCAAACGTATTGGTAGAATGAGAAAAGATATGTCCGTTTTTTTTTTTGCCCCATAATTCCACGGGCGCACAAGCATGTGGAAGTCAATAGCGTGTGGTATCATGGGAAAAAAATGCAGAATGTAAATCATTCGCTGTAGACATAAGGAAAGCATACAATTCTGAATGAACAATGTTTACTTACGTATTTGCCAGGACGTTCAAACGTATTTGCGTCTGTGTTCATGCCACGCCATCTGCGCATGCGGATGTCAATGGCCTATGGCATAATGGAAAAAAAATGCCGAACACAAATCATGCACTCCAGATATAACACCATACAATTACGACTGAACAATGTTTACTTATGTATTTGTGAGTACGCTTGAACGCATTTATGAGTACGTTCGAATGTACTTGCGAGCACATCTGAATGAACTGAAATACCGTATTTTCCGCACTAAAAGGTGCACTGGATTATGAGGCGCACCTTCAATGAATGGCCTAGTTTGTAATTTTTTTCATATATTGCACGCACTGGACTATAAGGCGCAATCTACAATGCATCCACTAAATGGAGCTACAGGTATGTCTTTGTCCGTCTCTGTACCTTCTCTTCTTCCGTTAGACACGAGAGGCGTTCATGACCGCCTCCAAAAAAACGTAAATTAACGATTACTTCCACGAAACTACGAAAATTGAAAATACAGTCATGCATCAAAACAGAAAATCACAAAATAAATTCTATAGACCGCCGACAGAATTTATTTTGGCATTTCCTTGAGCGTAGCTGCAACAGAATGATCAGATGTCAGTAAATTGGAGGAGAATGGACTGTCTCAGAAATGTTTGTTATTCATTCCTTTGTTGTGTATTGTATTTACAAACGAGGAAATCACGAAATAAATTCTGTAGTGGGGCTATAGCATTTATTTTGTGATTTCCTCACTTGATTTTCTGTTTTGATGCATTCTTTGCAATTTTTGTAGTTTTATTGAAGGAATCGTTAATTTACGTTTTTCCGAGGCGGTCATGAACGCCTCTCGAGTCGAACGGAAGAAGAGAAAGCACGGAGACAGACAAAGACGTACCGTATTTGTTGAGACTGAAAACCATTAATAAAGTGTGCGTTTTAAAAAAACAACACCACAGCTCTCCTTTTTTCGGAGCTGCAACAAAAACGTATTCAATAAAGCAGCGACACCGTTCACTGAACCAACAGCAGGTTATAACATTGTAAGCATGTCTCCGGCAACTAGCCATCTTGGGGGTCGACATATTACCGTAATGACCAAACAAGGCGCACCGGATTTTAAGGCGCGCCGTGAGCTTTTAAGAAAATGGAAGACTTTTCGGTGCGCCTTACAGTGCGGAAAATACGGTACGTTAAAAAGTTCTCGCAAGTACGTTTGAACGTATTTGCCAGTCAAAATATTTTTACTCCACATTGGCAGCTCCACGCTTCCGTAGTTGCCAACCAACAGATTTCCTGAGTGAATTCACCACCCTGGACTCATTTTCTCTCCTCCATGCTGCCAAGTGCCATCACGCTTTACGTTTTGATAATGCATACGGCCATGTGCGTGTCTCTGTGGCTTGGGTGGAACAGATGTAACACACACAAATAACAACAATAACAACAATGAACCGACAATTAACGAAAGACGCCAGGGAAACTTAGGCCCATTTATACGAGGACAACTCCCAACTATATTACCAGAAGCATCTTTCGCTTAGATGGTGGCAGCATTTTGAGTACTTGTAACCATCAATTTGTTTTTCATAGCGTGGATCATTGATGAAGGGAGATCCTTTATTTGGCCGGACATGTCCACTTTACTACACGCTGTCTGGGTTCCAGGGGGTGTTTATCAATTCATCAGAATGTCCTTTTTATTGTTTTTCACGGGACCAATTCGCATGTGTTTAATTTGACTGATGTTTTTGTGCGACAAATGAGTGCATTTAATTTTTTTCACCAGCGTGTGTGACATGGACACTGGCTTGATGAGAATCCAGAAGAGAACACAAGTAGCGGAAGTGTTGATAAGTGCGTTTGGAGAACTGACTTACATATGAGTCCATGCAGGTGTGGTGCAAGTGCGCTTGGTGTAACATCTCAGAAGCCTCAAGAAAGTTCTGGGGTCTTCTCCAGAGTGGACTTTCATTAAGGTCTTAAGGGCAGTGAAGACCATCCTCCATCCCAAGATGCACATTCCACCATCAAGTTACATTCAGGAAGGGGGCAGCTACAAGAACTGCATTTTGCGTGTTGGGGAACAGAACCATGAAAAACCTGTAATCCCAAGTGGATGCAATTTTTAGCAGAAGTTTCCGAAATACCTCAACTCTGTTCATGCTGTGTTTCATGTCTGATCATGTTCTTCAACTTGCGTTATCTAGAACAGTGGTGCCCAATACATCGATCGCGATCAACCGGTAGGTTGTGGACCGGTCCCAATCGCGAGGGGTATATAGGGGAAAAAAAAACCCTACCCCAAAATATTTGTGTGTCTGGGTGTGTGTTATTAATATGATATATTTTTGTGTTACTTACTGCACACTGCACCCTTAGCATCCTATCAGTCTCACTTTCAGAAAAATTATTTAAAAATAAAATAAAATAAGCAGGTGACCTTTAACCTACGGTGGCACGTAACCTGCATCACCGGAAGTTGTTAGCGGTCAGCAGTCTGGAATTGCAGCTTGTGATCAGCTGTTGCGCTACATCTTTTATAGTTACTACTCTTACTCAGAGTTTGTTTCGTGTATAATTCACTGAGGGCACTGGCAAAGAATGGGATCCTGAAGGGCCAAGAGAAGCATTTTAAAATGGTACACGTGAGCTATGATAGTTAACGGGCTGCAAAAGTGCATCCCATGCCTCCGCATCAGGTCTCCCAATAATGTAGGCAGTGATTTCATTTTCACAAACTCTTGTGTCTACTTTAGTTTTCTGTTTCAGTCATCTTAGGGACCATTATGGCTGTTTCTCGTTATGGCATGCGCGTGAAATGGGTGCGTATGCACGCATGTGCGGTAACGGGTCGATCGCGGGAGGTTGGTTGATCGAAAAGTAGATCTTTGGTCAATAAAGGTTGGGCACCACTGTTCTAGACGAATTAATTGGGAGAAGAGTTACAACTTTGATTTTACAATATGCTGCCATGTTTCCCTTCAAGAATTCCTTTTTGGTGGCACACCTAGCACTCTCCGGTTTCGTGCCTTTTCCTTATGAGAACAAGGCCAAAGGCTTCAACTATGACTGTGCTCTGCTACTGCCGGCCACATGAGGGCGCCCGGGACCCCTTCCTGTCCACCTCAAAAGAACACAGCAGACTTCAACAGCATCACACGCGCCCATCTTATGAGTGACGTGAGACCACCTTATTTCCTTTTTCTTGTCTTTTTCTCTTTTTCCCCTTTTTTTCACACCAACTTCTTTCTGTCACCTCCTGTCTTCACAACTTGGCCATCTCGCCTGCTCGGCTTGAATGAGGATGAACTCCTCACAGCTCATCCATTCAGAGGATATTCAGCGAGTGCAAAATCCCAGTGTACAAAACCAAATTGGTGCTTAAAATTTGGGTATGAAAGGGGCTAAGTTCATCAGAGCCACGTGCCCATCTTTTTAGAAAGTTAACACTATGTTGTGTCAAGATAAACCCTTTTACTTTTTTGTATTATTTTATTTTTTCCGATTAGATTCTCATTCTTTGCTACCCTTTCCACCTGAATTAGTTTTCCTCCCAATTCCCATGTAGATTTAGAGAATAAATGTGCACATCATAAAACTGCAACGTGGAACGTGTATGTGCCTCAATAACAGTTATGAACCTCTAAGCTTCGAAAAACAAGCTCAATACTCTTTAAATATAGCAGCCTTCTAATTAATACGGACTTCAGAGGTTTTTCATCT